CAAATGGAACGACCCATAAAAGATGGCCGAAACAATTCCCTCAACACCTGACCAGGTTACCAGGCCTGGTGAGGCACTCCCCTCTGTGGAAGAAAAAAAAGAGAAACACATAGACATTGACCCTCCCTGACAGCAATTTTAGACCCCCTCTGCCGAACAGCTGTCGATGCACAAGAATTGAGAAGATGCACATTTTATGTCACTGCAAAGGGAAACAAGGCTTTTTGATAAGGGATCTCTAGTCAAAAATGGCAGGGGGTATACAGCTTCTTCTGGAAGGGGTTGCCAACTGGGTCCCGGAGAATGTATGGGGTTGCTTTTGCTGTTAAATCTGCTGCGTCAATTCTCTAAGATGCCTGTTGGTGTTAATGAGTGACTCATGACTTTCCCCATCCCACTATCCACGGGAAACCACATGATAATCATCAGTGCCTATGCACCTACCCTGTTAGCAATAGATGAGGTGGAGGACAAATTCTATCGATCCTTGGACCACATTTTTTGCTCTATCCCACATGCGGATAAGATCCTTCTGATGGGGGACTTCATCACCCGTGTTGGCTCCAAATCCGAAGTCTGGAATGGAATCATCGGAAAACACGGCACTGGAACATGCAATGTGGGCAGAGCACCAACTATGCATCACCAATACATTGTTTCGACTACCTAACATGTATAAAGGCACATGGATGCATCCTCTATCTCCTCAATGGCATACACGCTTCTTTATGGAACAGTCAGTGTACGTGGGGCCGCGGTCCGTGCATGTTGCGGCATGGATTGTGCAGGTGTAATTTTCAGGGATTATGTCAACATGAGCACTCATATCAGCAAGGAAGGTCAAATTTAAAACAACCTGGGAACTACAGCATGTGTAGCACCACGCACGAGGTGCCGTGTAACCAGTCTGAAAGTGGCCTACTTGGCTGCCTGAACACACGACGTGCACCTCTGCCATTGGCATGCACGATGAAGACACCAACGCAATCTTGCAGCAGTGCCATGCACGCCTTAACTAAAGGCTACCATGATTCAGCCTGATGTGCTGTGTCTATTCTGCATGTACCATACACGGTAATGTGATCGGTTACATCAATATCGTGCGTGGGGGCGATCGATGTACACAATTTACACGATTTATTGTCTCAACAATGACTGTGATGGTAAAACCTAATTCTATTACCGGTAATGTGCAAACTGACATTTTAAGGGAGCACACTGGTTTTGTGGTGTTAGTAGGCCTACATCCCATTAAGGTTACGTTTCAGTTCTTGTCAGTAAAAACATTGGATCGGACATTGGCAGATGTTCCGATTATTAACATCAGACATCGAATCGGCAGTTTAAACCTGCATCGGTTGATCCCTAATGGTGTACAACTTCTACGTCGTCTTCACAAATTCCTCCAACGGTGCTGCCGGAATGCTGTTATTCCCCAATGATGGAAACATGCAATTATGGTAATGATCTACAAAAAAGGGTAACAGATCAGTCTGTGGAAATAGCCGTGGCATCTCCCAACTGGACACTGCTGGGAAGATTCTCTCCAGGATCATACCACTGCTTCATGAATTTGTTGGATGGGTGCTGCCTGAGTCAGTAAGTGGCTTCCGAGCCAACAGAAGTGCTACTGACATGATTTTGTCTCACAACTTCTCCTTGAAAAGTGAAAGGAGCACCAAATGAACTTTATGTTGCATTCATCAACTTTCATAGCCAAGGATTTCAATACTGCGAATCGGTCTCTCCTGTGGAGAATTCTGGAGAAATTTGGCTGTCCCCCAACCTACCTCTCCATCCTCTAACAAGTCCATGATAGTATGGTGGCACAGGTCTTGCATGGTGGTAGAGTCTCCGATCCTTTGAAGTGAAAGCTGGTGTCAAACAGGGTTGCGTTTTGGCTCCTGTCCTCTTCAATATCTTCCATAATACAGTAACTCTCCTGTCCCACAGTAAGACCAACCTTGAGGACAGTATCCCGATCCGACACCGACTCGATGGTGGGCTCTTCAACCTGAGAAGACTCAAGGCAACCTTCAAAACTGAATCTACCACCACCTTTGAGCTTCAGAATGCAGACGACACGGCCCTCGTGTCCCACTCTCCTGACAGATTGCAGAGAACAATTAACACATTGCACACAACTTACACTTGCTGTGGACTTGTGATCAATCCTCAGAAGACAGAGGTGGTTCTAAGACACCCGTCCCCCAGCATGTCTCTCCCTCACATTTCTGCATCGATGAAAGCCTCCAAAGAACATCCATCACTTCAAGTACCATGGCAACATCATCTCCGACGAGTTGTCAACAGATGATGAGGTCACCAACAGAATCCATTTTTGGCTTCCTTTGCTTTTGGCCACCTTCGCACCCATGTCTTTGCAAACCATAACCTACGCTTGAAAGTGAAAATCCAGGTATATACCGAGCTCTCTGCATGTCAAAACTTCTCTACAGTGCTAAGACATAGACTGTCTACAGCCGTCATCATATCAAGATGTTGGAATCTTTCCACATCAGATGTCTCCAGTGCATCCTGGGACTTACCTGGTATGATCAGGTTCCCAATGTGGATATCCTGCGACACTGTGGGCTGCATAGCATTGAGGCCTTCTATATCAAAGGCAGCTGTGCTGGTTTGGCCACGTTGAACGGATACCACAGACATGTCTGCCAAAAAAAGTTCTTCACGGAGAGTGCCAAGCTGGTCACCATTGCCCAGGGGACCACGAAAAAGATTTCTCAATGTTGTCAACAGTACGCCAATAAATGCTACATCCCAACCTCCCAGCTTTAACAACTTGCTAGCGACCGTGTCATCTGGAGCAACACTATCTCTGAGGAATCGAGCATTTTGATGAAAAAAAGAACGCTTCAACAGGTGGAGCGCCACCTGGTTGCCATCATCGCCAAAAGCAGACAACAAGTGAACGTACTGCTGACCCATTCATATATCCCCACTGCAGCAGAGTCATCTCATCACAAATTGGTGCCTACAGCCATGCGAGGACACACATAAGGGGAAACTAATTGAGGGTGAACGTCGTCATCTATCAAGATGGACTGCCACACATTTCTGTTTTATTTCAAAGCAGCAAGAAACACAATACATCATGTGAATTGTGAAATTCTTGTGTGTATAACATGAACTCTCAGAGTGTCATCATGAAATCATTGGTCAAGTACCATGTATTCATGATGGTTATTCCTTGCCAAAAAGAATATTTGATGAAAAAGTGAGTTTATTTTTAATCCTCTAATATAATACAGATCCGATGAAAAGGTAAATTCAACATGATTCTGTGTTTACTTTTTGAGCTTCAAGTCAAACGAAAAATCCTGCTCTGAATAATGATCAATTATTGCAAAAAAGGAAAGGAGTACATGTATCTTGCTATCAAATTTTGAGGGAGGAAAATCATTTGAAGATACCCACAATAGTCTAAACCCAGTAAACCACGTACTTGAATTAATACTAATTTTTAAAGGTTGAATTATGTAGCGATCAGAATAGATAAATTGCAATCTGATGTCAGCAAAATACCTATTTCGTCCTTGTGCTTTTCAAGGTGTCTATGCTGTGAAAGGTGACAAGATGGCTTGCTTCAGTGTCTGCAACAGCATAGCTTCCACAGGGTGCGTGATTCCACTCCAGCGGTCTGCCGCTAGGGTTCTTCATCATCAGCGGGTCACGTGTACAAAGATTAGGGGAAATTCTTTTCACTGTAACTTCCGATCTGATGATGTCATCAACATGAATTTTTGCAAATACACTGGATGCTTAAAAGTCATTTATCTACCAACTTTCAAGCGATTCAACCGATTTTTGCCACAGACACCAACTCAAAATACATTTTCCATATTCTTCAACCTGCTGACAGAGAGGGCTAGAGAAATGCATGAGGTCATCAAGTCCAAGTTGTGAAGAATATACTATATGACGAGAGACTAACACTACTGAAATAAAGTTAATGTATCTTTAACAAGGGTTTTCCAGTTTCGACCATAAGCAAGGGTCACGTGACTCAACATCCTGAACAAGTAATGAAGAACCCAATTTATTTTGTCTCTTGATGCCAAACAAAGACAAGGAATCTAACAGGTGATTTTTTGTGCATTTTTAAAGATTAAACCTTTGAAATTGAAAATCTTGTAATCTGACACCTGAGGATGTCATGATGTCATAACAAATGTGTACATTTGCAGATGATTGTTGATGTTTGTGCCAAGTTTGAAGTTTATATCTCATTCCATGTTCTCAAACAAGTGCACACAAAAAATCTTTGTAAAAGAAAAAAATAATAATATCGACAATGATAATATGCAAGCCCTGAATAACAATTCGCACACTAAAAGGGTTTGAGCTCAGGCCCAAACCCTGAAAAAATAACAATCCAGACAAGAACACTACGGTTTGGGAAAACCGTTACTAACAGTATTAGTTTAAACGAAAATGGGCAGAATTCAACTCTCACTGGAAATTAACCGTTACGAAAAATTTGTGTACTTGTCATATCATATACAGTATTTTTAAGAAAAGAAGCTGGCAAAACACAATTTAGTACAGGAGTGAGTTGTTGGAGTACATTGTCAAGGAACTCGCCTAGACATATAGCATGATTATCAACATTTCAGCATGATTCAAAAATTTGATATCAGCAATATTGATTTAAATGATATCAAATAATCGAATATCAACCCATCAATAGACATCACGCTAATCACCTTGCAGGAAATATGTTGTGGATAGCTGAGAAGAAGTCCAAATTTATAGTAGAACATGACAAACTGTTCAAACTTAAGGCAATGTGAATAAGGGTGGCCTAATTACAGGTACTGCAGTTATCAATTAGAACATTATTTATTCTACTTTTCTTCTTCTTCATAGAACATGCTGTGCAAACTTGTGGCAGTTCTCACAGAACAGGGATAAAGGTGCTGTGAATTTTTCAAAATTTAACCAATGCTCACAAGATATATAGATACATGTATACCTACCTGTAATACTTGTGAACACCTCACTGGCTCCTATCAATGTGTACTGAGGAACCTGTGCAAAAATAGACAACTCAGATGCATTGAAAACCTTGTCAGCCACTTCCTGTTTGAAGTATCCATACTCTTCAATGCTTGCTTTCCGAGCAAATTCAATTCCAGCTGCTAGTCCCATGGAGAATACAGCCAAGACCATACCAACGCCTGCACAAAAAGTGTTAAACAATCTTTATATCTCACTGAATAAATATTGAGTAAGCACACCCTTCTCACATAATACGGTATGTCTGAATTTCCTGGATCTTCCAGAAGATGTTAACGAATTTTTGTTGTGTGACTTCAGTTTAGTCTTCCTGTAGTATCTTTTGTATTTCACTTTTTAGTCACAGTCATTGTAAACATTTTCTTCATGAATTAAGTTAAACACATACACATTACAGTTTGGCAAATTTTAAAGGGAATTGTCTCAAATTTGCATTTGTGTTTTTGCTTCCACACTTGAAATAAACCACGCCATGTTTTACATTCTTACCAATTCGTTTCAATTTTGTGAGAGGATATCCGATCCTGGCCATACACGGGTAGAAGACACGATCCACAAAAGGAATGAGGACAAGAATAATTGCAATGTTGAAGAGGTTGATAGCAGCTACCGGAATAGTGAAACCACTGTAGATGAGACGCATACGCTCACCTTGCAGCAAATAGGTTGTGGACATCTGGGGATAAGTTCACATAATGCCACATCACAAGTTGTTTGCAAAGCTGTGTGAATATGAGTGGCCTTATTACAAGCAGTCAATTTCACATTCTTCAGACAACATGCAGTGCCAAGAAATAATAAGTGCATGTACTCTATACCCGCTAAATGCATAAAATATTGGAGGACAACACTATGCTCCACTGAGATACTTTACTATACATGTTGGTAAACCTGGTACACTGTAGGTCGTTGAAAAAAGAGTTATAAAAATGGAAAAAACAAAAATACCTTCTGCGATAGCTCTAAAAGCATAAGGTCTACTGGGATTTTACACAATGTACAAAGTAAGTATGTACATACAGAAACTTGAGCTAACAGTTCTGAACACCAACAGTTAAATTGCATCACGCAATTCTTAAGACCCAAAAAGATGAGATGCCACTGCCATGGGATATATACATGTATGTCTACAGTTCTTTATTCTTGCAGTTCATGTGGTAAAGAGTTACACTACTCCACACTAGATACATCATGACTGGATCAGGGTCTCCAATTCTACTTATAAATCTGCTGCCCAAATGAAACTGACTTTTCTGCACAATTACTGTTGTCCCTGATGTTACAGATCAATTTGGAAAACTTTCAGAAGTTTTCTGATTGCAATCTCAAACCCAGCAAACATCTGGCAACCCAAGTCTACTTTAACAAAACCCCAACAACACCCTGGTGATATGGAAGGAAATGAACATACAATAAAGAAAGTGTACAAATTTTGGTGTTATTTATTTGTAATTTGATTTTTTTGTGTTGGATGTGTTAATTGGCCTAAACTCCTAATGCAGAAGCATTTGTAAGGCACTACGTTGCTACATGTTTGAATGAGCTGGAGCCAGGAGTCATGGGAATGGGTATACATGATGCATTGGAAACTGAATATTGCTGTACCAAATGAACACTTTAACAAACATTTTGCATGGGCCCTGTGTTTGTACAGCAGTGTTGTACTGTATGAATTTAAGATGTGATGTGAATATGTTTTACTAGTCTTATAGTGTAAACAATTTTAATGAATACACTGTTTCATAGCTTGATGTTTTATATTTATTTTATTGATGTTCTATATAATATTTTTTATTGTAAACTGCATGTACATCCCCAGAAAAAAAAGTGACTGGGATGAAAGTGGGATCCCAGTGAGGTTCCGGTGGGATAGGCCTATCCCAGTGGGATCCCATTTCCAGGTGGGATTGTAGTGGGATCCCAATTGAGGTGAGATCCCACTTGCAAGTAAAAAAGTGGGATCCATGTTGAGATGAAATCCCACGTGGGACGGGAATCCCAGTTGGAGGATTAGGGCCAATAAAATGAAAGCGCTTTTCTCCCTTCCAAAATGATGCTGAGACTTGTATGAACAAGTTACAACAATGTTGAAGCTTAGGCTTTGGCCTTCTGGTCTTTTATCCAAAATCCGTTCGATTTTTACGAATTCAAAGTAACAGAAAGCTTCTTGATTCATCCCTTCATATATCAGATCACGATGGTATGTGTACATTTATTAATTCAGAGGGCTATTATTCACTTTGGCAGGGTTCCGATGTAAAGGAATGTTTGGCGTGTCACACAGATGGTTGTTATATAAAATAAAAACAAACTAAAAACAAATGAAGACTCAAAGTGTGTCAGATCTCTGAAACAAACTACATCACGAAATAAGGTATTGACTGAGTTACAAGGAAAAAATATTCTGACGTCATATACATAGTACATAATATTTTAACCACCCCACCAAATATGTTTTTCGAATGACAACAGTCACCAATCAAAGGGTCAAGTGAGCAAAGGTTCTTTGATTGTAAGCTCAGTTTTAGCACACGTACCTCAAATTGTACTAAGAGTTTGTTCATTAAAAAAAAGTTGGGGACCAACAATAGTTTTACAAAATACACTAGGTTACAAGTCATGTCTTAGCATAGCTCAAGCTATTATCATAATGATGATCTTATATCTGAAAATGACCTGCTTATTAGGCACAACCCTACATGTACACCTCATTTTCATGCAAAGCCAACTGCCGTGTCACACAGGTCATTTTTTTGCAATGACTGTCTGACATGAATGGAAACGAAGTGTAACAATATTGCCACAAAAAGTGACAAAATTTGTCTGAATCAACGTAAAATATTTGCAGTCGATAATTCTTAACAATTACAGACAATTCACACTACAATGCACAGCGCTGGTCAAGTAATTACGACGGCAAACTGGCCAACAATGTCCGCATTTCACATGTAACTTGTGCGTGAAGCATCCAGCATGTCCAGAGGGCAAGCGAGCATTATAAAATGGAAAATAAAATAAAATGGAAATACACTCGCTCTATCATGTTCAAACATAAGCAAATACAACCTTGACTAAATTCATGAACAACAAAAATAGTATGTACATGTACATGGACAAAAGATCAAGTTCTGTGAAAGTTATAGAAATCTTCTTGCAACATTGATTTTTACGAAATGTTGATATGAAAGCTGTTACATGCATGACACGTACATGTACATATGCAATACACGTGACAGACATACATGACTATTGCAGCTGACGACACTGTTTAGTACAGACACAGATCCAAGAACTACATGTAGACGAACACCCTAGTCTGCTACACACGGCTCGTGGTGTGCCAGCCCACAGTGTGTCTACCATCTGGAACCAGACAATATTCAGGCGGTCATGGTGCCGGAATTGTAATCTTTTTTTTACAAAGTTTGACACCATATTATTTTAAGGGTTTTATTGTGTAAAGCGCAAAATGTACATGAATATTAGATTCTATCGTGGGTGAGCAAAAACAAATTTTCGTGCAAGCAACTGAATCTCACGCACATGAAAATAAAGTTTCTCACTTGATTACGCACAGAACATAAACTGCCAATTTTGGTGCCAATCGTCATTTTCAAATTTCTTTTTGGTTTTGCACAGCGAGTACATCGTGTGTGATGCAACTCCGCAATTACAAAATGACTTCACCTTCGGAAAAGAAGAAAGGGCTTTTATTTGGTTCCACAATGGCCAGTTAACAAAAACGTGTCTTATTTGTCAGCAATCATTCAAAGCATAGGCTTGGGTCTAACAAAGGAAAAGCTGTGCGCCCAGGCTGAGTCTGGCTGGGCAGGAAAGTTTCCGGCTGTCAGCATGGTCAACGTGGCCGTCACAGGCCAAACTGGAGGTAAGTTGCATGTGAGTAAAGTATCGGTGAGTAAAGTACTGGTAAGGCAAGGTACCGGTAGACCAAGGCTATACACAAATAACACGACCAAGAAATGGTAGGCTAATGTTTGGGACTTGGTCCAATCCTTAAAAGTAGCTGACAAAACAGTGGGCTTAGGCCTATTTCTTGTGACATAGGTAACAAAAATTGTTAGGCCAAAAAGGAGCTCTGCTTCTAAAAATTAAAAAGGGTTGGTAGGCAGGTAGGCCTTGCTCGGAAAAATATTTTTGGTCAATATTTTGTGCTGCAGGAAAGGAAATTCACAAGAATTATGGACAAGTACGGTTATCATGATGGCAAACTATAGCCAACAGTGTCCATGTATGGCATGGTAAGCATGTTTGGAAACACGCTCACTTCAAGTATAAGCAAGTACGAGCAAAACAACCTCATCCTAAACTGGTGAACACAGAAAATACATACAGATAAGAGACCAAGTTCCGTGAATTAACTTGCAGAATTCCTCTTGCAACATCAATGTTTTTTTGACCTGCAGCTGTACTTATGTCATGTGTAGCGAGGGTTGCATGCAAGTACGGCCGGGCGCCAATGTAGTGTAATCTACCAGGACATACATACTGGTTGGCACATTTCCACCATGCATTCTTTTGCATAGGCGTGGCGGGAACCAGCGCAGTCTTGTTTCATGCATTGCGCTTTGCACACGTCAGCAAAACATGAAGCAACTTGTGAAAATCATGGAACTTTCTTTTCGAAAATAGCAAATGTAAGTGGGAAAACATATAAATAGAAGCTCTTAATGTGAGGAAAGGTTGTTCAAAGGTGTTTTGTGAAGAAAAAAAGACAGCAGGATTTAGGCCTATTTCAATTGTTTGTTAACTTTTTAAAAATTGTTTTTCTAACTTTCTGATAAAAATTTTAGGGTCATGCCAAAAAATTAGGGTCGGTCAAGAAACCAGAAGCAGAATTTTTTTTGGGGGGGGACATAACTTGCTCAACCAGCGTGACCAACATAGCCATACATTTTAACTTAACTATCAAAAGGATTTAAGTGGGTCTAGCCTCATGTTGTAGCGAAATGGACCCCACTGACTTGTTTATTTGTAATCATGTGTAGCTATAGGACCGAAGCATATACTTTTTTTTTAAGTTAGGCCTTAGGTCCCAGACAGCTGAGCTACTCCTAGATCTAGCCAATGCTAGGCCTAGTATTTTTCAGGCCCAGGCCTTTAACCACTACCAGCCGGGGACTCCAGGATCGGAGCC